AGATCTACAATTTGATCTGCAAGAAAATAGAATTAACTTAGAAATTCTTAAAAATTCTATAAGTAGAATTTTTAACCATCACAGCGTGAAAGGCCATTAGGAGATACTGGAATTAGCATTGTATTTTTAGGTATCTCTAATTTTGTTAATATAATATACAAGCCTTTCAACTGACTTAAGTTTGTATATTTTCATATTAGACTAACTATTACTAATAATATTCTAAAATAATCTTGCAAATTTGCGAGACTGTATGGTCTTGGAAAAATGCTAAGAAAATATTTCTCTCCAACCTAACTTGAAGAATTACTCAAGAATCCTTTCTTGATTAAAGTATGTTTAATATAGAACAGAAGATCAGCTATATAAGGAACTTCAATGAGGCATATTTCTTGATTCTTATAGATATTCTGCTTCTTCTGATTATGCATATTTTGTGATTTTAGATTTTCATTCTTCTGGTGATAAAAACTATTATGATGATGGTGTTGAGAGCTCTGGAATTCAAATGCAAGACGTAATTCCTCATTATATTCACTTAAGTGTAGTCTATCTAAAAATTTAGCCATACATAGTGGAAATTTCTTGCCTAATAGATTCTCAAAAATATATCAGCATTAGCGTTTACCATTTCTATGGTAGCAAAGAGAATACCATTCGAATTTTTTATAATATATATTAATGGATATTCCCACTAGTATGCACTATTCTCACAAGATCAAAGATAAACATTATGACTATTTATTTATCCAGTTCTTCCTAAACATTGGTCACCATGCTTTTTGGCATAATTTTCAGCCTAAATTATCTCATTATTAGAAGTAGTAGCGACATGTACAGATAATATATTTTTGGGGTGGATATTTAACTTTCTGAATCATCTATTAATAAGAGTTTTTCTTGCATAAACTCGTAAGATAATGCATATTCTCCATTAAAATAATATAAAGCTGGTTTATTCTTTATGATAATAACTTTTGAATTTTATGAATAGAAGGCGAGAAAGTGGAATCAGTTACCCTCTTCTAATTTTCCATACCCCTTCCTATTTCACATTAGCAAGTAGGTAACAACAATATCACTTTTCTTTAACGTTATTTCATCTTTTTCAATTGGACGTTTATATTTTGTAGATAGTCTAGATTCAACTTTCTCTTTAGCAATTATTTTCACCGATTCAAGTTCCTACTTTTCTGATTCCAGTTCTCGAATAAGACGTATTAGATAGTTATTCAGCTTCTGGCAAATACCTAACTCATGCTCTTATTAATTTTGAATCAGAAGATATAGACTTAACAGCGTACTAGATCTTATATAAAATTTTTGAGAGTGTCTAATTGAAATGCTTTACAAATGCACTCTTCTGTGATTATATGGGCTGATCACTCAAATTACGACATTATACTCTTGCATTAGTGGAAGGTTTCTCTCATCTATTCTCACCTATTATCTGTTTGAAGTAATTTAGAATAGGTAAGATGATTACTAAGATCATTATAAAATTTTCTGAATATTCTAACAACTTCTGAACTATTCTTTGATGTAAGTAGAATGGAAGTTTTATATTAGGAGACTCAGTTTATTATATTAAGTACAGCTTTATAGATTTTACCTCTATAATGATTATAGGTAAGAAATAATATATCAGCTTGATGAGTGTATTATTCACCTGTAGCTGGCTCTAGAAATGCATTTTATTAATTTGGTATGACTCCTGATTTTCTAAAAAAATTTTAGATTTATTTAGGCGAAATCAATGCCTTCTTTTTACACGTATTACTTGCCTTAAGCACTTTCAGCAAAGATTTAGGATTGGAATAATACCCAGTTAGACAATATTATATATTACATAATATGAGATGTTTTGATTCTCTGTATCTCATCAGGATCTATCACAACTTGCGGTTGGCTCATTTTCAAGGTAAAATTATTATAATGGTACTATAAATTAAGATAAAATACCATGTTTGATTCAGTATATTCACAGTTTTTAGATACAAGTCAGGAGCTTCGTAGTGAACTTCAAGATGAGATTTTTATTAATAAGAGCAATGAGAAAAGTTCAAACTCTTATAAAGGATCTTGAGCAATGTTATCAGACTATCTTATTATAGGATAATACTATCATAGCCTATGAAAAAGAGATAGAAAAACTTAAATCAGAAATATCTGATTTGCGAAAACAACTTAGGGTTTTACAACAAAATAAAAAATTTAAAGATGAGATTGGGTCTATTCAAAATGGCCAAATCATAGAGCTTGAAAATAAGGTAAAACATCTCAAGACAGGAACTCTGATTCTTATAGATAAAAAAATTCCAATAGATAATTTAGACAATAACTAATCTTATCGCAAATATTAATAAAAGATTAGAGTGGATATAAAATCATATTAGAGGTATTAGTACGTCTAAGGTTCCGCAATTCGATTTAATATTTAAATATTTGATATGAAAATTAAATTAAATTCAAATTCAAATTTATATTTGATTTGATTCAATCAAATTCAAATCAAGTATTCAAATATTTAATTTGATTTAAATCAATAGTAAAGCCATCTCCAAAGCTTCAGAAGTGACTCTTACTAAGAAAACCATAGTAAAAAGTGCCTTCACGACTTTGGAAATGCCTTTTTTACTAAGAGAAACATAGTAAAAAATGCCTTCACAGCTTCAGAGACGTTATTTTACTAAGAAAACATAGTAAAAATACCTCCACAGCTTCAGAGACATTTTTTATTAAGAAACCCAGTAAAAAAATGCATCTGCAACTTCAGAAACATTTTTTTACTAATAATATTGTTATAAAGCTAAGATAGCAGTTATTACTAAATTTTCTTAGTAAACTTAAGCCGTGATGGCAGTTATTGCTAAGTTTTCTTAGTAAAACTGAAGCTGCGATAGCAGTTATTACTAAATTTTCTTAGTAAAACTGAAGCTGTTATGGCAGTTATTACTAAGTTTTTTTAGTAAAACTGAAGTCATGATGGTGGTTATTACTAAGTTTTCTTAGTAAAACTGAAACTACAGATTTATTTTATTAAGTTTAATAGTAAAAATTCACCTGTTACTAAACTTACTTTATAAAAGCTAACTTTAAAACTTTTTAATACAATTACTAATAATTTTCTTAATTAAAACTTTAGAATAACTTTATTTTAATATATCATTGTAAAAATT